GAGCGCGTCGTCGGTGGATGATCGGGGTGAGTCTTTCCGGCGCGCTTGCAGTCGACTTTTATAGGCGGAGACGCCGCGTGGTAGGCTTGGCCAGCGCGTTACGCGTGGCGTGATTGCGTGGCGGCCGAGGGATGCGCCGCCCAGCCTTCACTGCGCCGCCCGTGAGGCATCAATGGAGGCTGACCGGCACGGCAGCGCGTGGCAGCTTTGGCATTGATTCGCCGCGGGAAACGAGGCGATGAGGACGACGAAGGGCCGAGAAGAGGGTAGAGTCGCTGACGCGGCGGGCCCGCGTCTCTTCGCGCCAAAAACGATTTGCCCGGCGCCCCCGAGCGAGCCCCAGCGCGCTGGGTTCGGGTTGGGTCCGCCGGCGCCAATTTCGGCCCGAGCTGGCAAAAACTGGGCTCTTGGGGACGCGATTGGGCCGATTTTTTGGCGCCGGCGAACGAAAAAACGCCTGGGGGGCATCTTGATGCCCTTAGAATGAAATGGATCGAACCACCGACGCATGCTCTCCGCCGGTGCTAAGCGCACCACCCTAGCAGGAATATGATGGTAATTATTCCAACTTTGAGACGCCGCCGCCGCCTTATCATCCTGACCAACGCATAGGAACTACCTAAAGAAAGGACGTGATCCCTCCGTCGACGCGTGGAGGGTGAGGGTGGGGAGGGGGTTCCGGCAACTATGCGGGTGAGGCAGTGAAACCCCTTTGGTCTTCTCAGTTGCCTGTAGAGGAACGACGTTTCAACACCCATTTTAATTCATATTTTTGGAATGTGACCAATTTGACCTTACTTTTTTAAGAAGAATTTGAGCTCAGTTGCAAGCGTTGAACCGGCCTGAACATTGTCTTCCGATCGGTCCGCATCCAATGCGGCATTATTTATATTGTGCGCGCCCGCACGGGTGAGGTTGACGGAGCTGAAAATTGGAAGGTTGCACGGCTCTGTAGCCAGTCAAGAAGGGTCGACGTCCGTACGTTGCCGAAAGTGCATGACATTTCTCTATTGAGCCTCGCTTGCAGTCGTGGTACTGCCCGTGGCTAATCTTCTGCCGACACACTCAACTCACGTTTACACTGGACTGATTCATCACCGAAGCAAACATATTAGCCGCCTCGTAATACGCGCCGGATAGACCCGCTCACCCACACACACGTAGGAGATAACAATAGGATATACTTTCACTGCATTTGCATAATATGATTAATTTTGTCTTCTCTACGCTTATTTTGGGACTAAGAAAGTATTGTGTCTGTATAATGGTTGTGCATGCATGCCCTTACCATTTTGGTTTTGCTATTTCTCGGACGGTAAGCCTGCGATAATCGGCCGTTAGGAAACCATAGTACGTTGATTCAAAAATCTATATGCATGCAAAATATTATGGGATTGAAAGAATTTGATCATATGGATATCGATATCAACATTTTAAAACTATTCCTAGGGAGACTGCGACATTCTAAAAAAAATCTCATCTTGGGTTCCACTCTCTCG